ATGTTAAGATTCTTTATTCAAACCTTCCCATTCAATTACAATGGAAAAACCATGTATTGGTTCATAGATTGAAATTAGTACAGATTCAAGTTTAAGATCTGAGTCATTTAATGAGCCTACTTGGACTTAATTATCTCTAAGAGCATATAGAAGTTAACTAGTACTAGCACATAGAACATGCTTGTTACCACATTCCGAAGTCCTTGCTGTAGCAGTCACTAGAGTGCCTGTACTTCTCATATAAGAGCTAGATCTAAAACGGACTGAACACAGTTTAACCTGCTTAATTTTATTGCATGCAGATTACCATTCGGGTCTAGTATGGTAAATATTATATATATATATATATATATCTCACATAGAACACACACATACACATACACAACACAGAAAGAGTTAAGTCAAAACACTTAGATAAAATGAAAGAAGGTACATGAGGGGGTTGAACAAGGAAGGGGAAAAACAAATATTTTGAAACAAACTTGTAAATGTCCTCAAAGTGCCCCTCTTCAAGAGCCACTTCTCAGAGGCTCCTAGAGACTGACTGTCAACCCCGCTCTGGGTACACAGAATTCAGAAGCCGGGGGCTGGGGGAGACACACCTAGGATATTCTCAATGAGAGATTGGTCAGTCAACTAACCCACCTGCCCAGTATTTCCTGAGTGCTTCCTCTGTGCCAGACACCACGATCATGCAGGGAGTAGAAAGATCAAAAGAATGCTACTACCTAAAATACCCTGTATTTCTCTAGAAAAAAATATAAAAGAAGGAGGCAGACAAGAGATTTCACTCATAAAGCATGTATAATACATCTGTTGTACAAGTAAGCTGAGCAAACTGTGTGATTTTGCTTTGTTGGAGAAGAGAGTGACATCCGCCATGCCAGTGACAACAAGAAGAATGGACGGTCCCATTTGTGACTGTGATGGGTGAGGAAGAGTTGGGGAAAACCTTGGGGCTGTCCAGGCTAAGCCTTAAACCACATCAATGATCAGACAGTAGAAGCAGAGACAATTACTCTATACAGAACAGAGGCTTGGTGATTCCAAGGCATCAGGGAGCTACAGGGCTAACCAAGAGTGATTGGGGTGAGATCGCATGGAAGACAAGGAGAGTGAAGCAAAGAGGAGATAAATGGGGACACTCTACCCAAAGGAGCTTGAAAGGAAACCTAGAAGCAAGAGACTAACATCATTCACTTGTGTTTCTTTTCATTATCAATCAGATTTATAGCTTCCCTGTCATAGGTTTCCTCGTTGATTATGTAAGATGTAATTAAAACTGGACAAGTCCTCAGATATGTGTGAGTAGAGTTTCACCCCTTTGAACAATCTATCATCTAAAAATGAATCATTTGTTTTTCCTGCAACAGCTCCAAGGAGAAAGAGACCCTTGCTTCTGAAGATAAAGGGTGTTTTTTTTTTTTTTATCTCTGACATGAAGTTTCGTTTTCAACTGCAAGATAGGTGGCTCAACCGCACTGGGTGCTCTATTTAGATTTTAACAAGTGAATCAGCAGGCGAACTAGGGCACATTCTCTCACTTCTCCAGGATGCACTATCTTAGTTTATAAACAAAGCTGAGTAATTCGCAGGTCACTTAGATGATGGGAGAGAAAATAAATTTTATAAAATACCCTAAGCATTAGCAATGAAAGATGGGTTTATTATCATAAGCTTGTTACTTGTAACTATTTTTGATCTGTAACATTAAGCCTTGCTTATGATTGGAAAATATAATTTTATACAATAAAAGTAAACTGAACAGCAACAATTCCTTTGCCTTTTATGGAGAACTCAAGGTAGCACTTCAAGAAAGAGATGGTGTCTGTCATGAATTTTTTTTTAAGATTTATTTTTATTTGAAAAGCAGAGTTACACAGAGAGACGGAGAGACAGAGAGAAATCTTCCATCAGCTGGTTCACTCCCCAAACAGCTGCAACAGTCAGGGCAGGGCCAGGCCAAAGCCAGGAACCAGGATTCTGTTCCAGGTCTTTCACACGGATGAGGGGCCCAAGCACTTGGGCCATCTTCCACTGCTTTTGCAGGCCATAATCAGGGAGCAGTATTAAAAATGGAGCAGTTGAGACATGAACCCACATCTATATGGCATATCTGCACCTCAGGCAGAGGCTTAGCTGCCTATTCCATGGCACCAACCCCTGCCATAAAATTAACTTACTAAGGTCTGCAAATCATTTTTCCTTTCCTCAAAATGGCAGAATAATTTTCTTCTTGGTCCTTTGTTTTGTTTTGAATTGATTTGAATTCTATTTGACAGTCAGACAGTGAGAGATTTTCCCATCTGCTGAGTCACACTCCAAATGCTGACCTCAGCCGAGCCGAGGCCAAACCAAAGCCAGGAGCTGGGAACTCAGTCCGAGTGTTCTTCTCCAAGGGTGGCAGAGATTCAAAAACTTGAGCAATCATCAGCTACCTCCCAGGATGCATTACAGTTAAGTAGACCAGCAGCAGTGCAGCAGGACTCAGACCTTGGTCCCAAGCTGCTGTGCCAAATGCCTGTCCTGATGTGTGTTCTGCTCTTACAACTTACTCTTTCCTCTTCCTATCATAATGTAGACCAGTATTTTATGTGAGTGATAAGCCCTTCCACCAAGCTACATATTCCACGATGACAGTGATGATGCATATTTTTTCACTACTGTACATCCAACCGTAATCACATTTTCTAACATGTGACAGTGCCCAATAAATATCTATTGGCTTTGTTTCTTTGATAGTGACATATTGATTAGTGCCAAATATCAGGATGCACAATTTGGTAGATGTTCAAACCTAGAGAATATCCTGGTACACTTCACAGATATCATAAATCCACATGCAACCATGGAGAACTTTTTCAACTTTTCAAATTTATTAATCTATGCAGCATCATTTTCTCTAATTGAGATGTTGAATAGTCAGTTACATGAACTTCTAAAGTTCTTATTTCCTTTAAAGTTCTCTTACTTGCCATCAGCTCTTTTCCCCTCTTTTTCAGCTATATTTCTTTTCTTTTGCTTTGAATTTGCTCTACAGCTTACTTTGATATTAATAATAGTTTTTGTCTGCATTGCACCTGATGCTTCTTCATGGATTTTATTTCTTTTGATCTCAGATGGACCTCAGAGCAACCTGAGTAGAAGAATACAGACATCCTTACTTGCATGTTTCACAGAGAAAAGAAGGGACTCCAGATAAGGAACTAGTTACTATAGCAACAGAGGTAAGAAACAACACTGGAACCAGTAAAGACCTATTCTGATCCCCATGTGTACACTAGCTATACAACCCCATGCCCAAACAGGCACGTGTAGCATCACACACTGAGATGCAGATACATGGAAGAGATGGGAAGAATGTGAGAGCAGCCATGGGCTTGAAGGATGAATGGGTCCAAGCCGAGGGAAGATGATTTGAGGCATAAGGGATGACATTGGCTAGCAGCCCACCCAGTACTCCATGGTAAATACGGAAGTAACACGAACATCTAAAGGGTAAACTGGAACTAGAATCCAAGTCTATCCTATCATAGCTATACTTAACTTTGGGAGAAAACACATTGTAATGAGGGTACAGAAACAGAATAAAATCAATATTCAACAGATTAATCTAGTTAAGGCATGTAACTTTCAGTTGGTAGAAGTTTTGCTTGAAATTAAGTATCATAGTGTTATATAGATGTTTTATTTCATCTGTTAGACATGAGCTAAAAAGTCAACTTGCACACAGTTGGCAAGGAAGGAAATGAACATATCCTTAATAGAAAAAGAAATGGCTGATGTACATACAGAGGAGTGTTTTAAACTAATTATAAAATAAATATAAATATTGCAATGCAATTTCATTTTTCACACTGCAAGTTGGTTGTTTCATCACTCTTTTAACTGTTTTTTTTTCGCTGTACAGAGGCTTCCTAATTTAATATAATCTCAATTGTCTAGCTGTCCTTGCTTGTGCTTACACGTGGGCCACCATCCACTGCTTCACAGGCACACTATCAGGACACTGGCTCGGAAGAGAAATAACCAAGACATGAACCAAAATGCCAATATGAAAAGTGAGGGTTCCAAGTAGAAGCCTAACTCAACTGTGTACAATGCCTGCCCACGTGACAGGGAGAGGCAGAGATCTTTCATCTACATCTTCCCAAATACCCACAACAGCCAGGACTGGGTCAGGTGAAAATTAGGAACTCTGAGACCCACCAGCCAGGTGTCCCACAGGGGTGGCACACCACACCTGCTGCCTCCCATGGTGCACATTATCAGGGTGTTGGTGTGAAAGTCGAGATGAGAACACAGGAAGTCTTCTATGGGATGCTGGCACTCCATGTGGCATCTTATCTGCTGCACCATGCCACCCTGCCCAAGAATTCCTCTCCATGAGACTGCAGATGAGTTGCTCCATAATACTCTGTTTTCCAAGTTTTTTTTTAAATAAATACACACACACAATTTCATGATTTTTTTAAAAAGCTGTGAATAATATTTTTAGCCTCCCAATTTTTTCAATAGCCTATTTTCCCACATTAGTGTAATTTTGTCCTTCAAAAGTTAACAGAAGGTAGCTTAAAGTTAAATGCACCTCTTCAAAGCACTACTACTCCTGCAGAGCAGGCTACACAGAAGAGGTAAGGAGAATAACAGCCGAGCGGCCTGGACTGGCTGCCAGACAGTATTCCTCCACCTGGCTGGTGCAGGAATCCTAACACCTGAAGCCTTTGGTGATTTGTCACAAAGCTTGTGCTGTGACAAACAGCCAGAGCAATCAGTTCAGATATAGTACTCAACTCAAATAAAAGTTAATTACGAGAACAGAGACTCTTGACATTTAAATGCCAAAACAATTAAAGGATAATGGGCACACGAACATGAACAAGCATCAGGAAAGAAGCCTTCTGGTTGGACCAACACCCACTGGGGAGGGTATATAAGAGCTCAAAGCCAAAGAAGGCATCTGTAACTCAGAAACTTCATCCCCCTAAGAACAAAAGGCTAACCACACTCCCCACACCATGGCTTGCTGTGTTGCCCGCTGCTGCAGCGTCCCCACCGGCCCTGCCACCACCATCTGCTCCCACGACAAGTGCTGCCGCTGTGGAGTCTGCCTGCCCAGCACCTGCCCACACACGGTTTGGCAGCTGGAGCCAACCTGCTGTGACAACTGCCCCCCACCTTGCCACATCCCTCAGCCCTGTGTGCCCACCTGCTTCCTGCTCAACTCCTGCCAGCCAAGGCCAAACCTGGAGAGCTACAACCTCACCACTTATGTTGCTCAGAACAACTGCTGTGACCCCTGCATCCCCGCAAACTGCTGATGCGCAGAGGCTCTGCTAGGTACCTGACATTGGAAGAGTCAACCCAGAGGAAGTGTTAGTGGTCACCTGTCTCAGCACATGCTGCTAATTTACTTCACTTTAGAATATAAAACAGATGGGGTGGCACCTGGAAGTCCCTGGACCTCCAAGAAGAAGAAGAAACCAAGAGCCTTTTAGGGGCCATGGAGTTCTTCTCTGTAGCCATGTAACCTGGTGCAAGCTTGAGTAGGTGGATGCCCTGGACTTCCCAAACTTGATTCCTTCACATTAAAGGATATCTTTCTTCGGGTGATTTGGGTATTCTGCTTCCTGGCCTTGTTTTATCTTTCTGGAAACTGAAGAACTTCTTCATTATCATCCTAATAAATTTTGCATCTCTGGCATAGCACAAATGTTTAATGAGTAATTTTATTTCTGTTAATGCATTAAATATTTTTTCTTAACTCCTAGTGTCAATGTTGTAAGAAAAATGGGGACCATGAGTAAAACTGGCAATGCTAGCACTAGAGAAATTTTTGAAAAGATTTATCTTATTTTTACTTGAAATACACAATGACAGAGAGAAAGAGACATCTCCCCTCTGCTGGTTCACTCCAAATGATCACAATATTTAGAGCTGGGCTGGTACAAAATCAGGAGCCAGGAGCTTCTTCTAGGTCTCCCCTGAAGGTGCAGGGACCCAGGGATGGGGAGAGTACTTGAACCGTCCTCCACGGCTTTCCCAGGACATTATCAAGGAGCTGGATTGAAAGGGGGCAGACGGGACTTCAGCAGGTGCCCACAAGGGATGCAGGTGCTGCAGGCAGAAGCTTAGCCTGTTGTTTTGGGATTGGCCCTAGAAATGTTTCTTGCTTTTAGTGTTCTTGCTGTTTTAAGATAACCAAATTGCCTCATTTATAAAATGGCCCAGCATATTGGCATAATTGAGATTGACTGAGCTGATCCAAACCTAGGAGCCAGTAGCTTTTTCAAAGTCCCTTACACAGACACAGAGTCCCAAGGCTTTGGGCCATCTTCTGCTCCTTTCCCATGTCACAAGCAGGAAAGTGGAGAAGCTGGGACATAAACCAGCACTCATATAGGATCCTGGAATTTGCAAGAGGAGGATTGGTCAATTGAGCCATTGCACTGGGCCCCTTAAAAAGATATTAATATTGGCTGGGATATACTTCACATGACCCAAGGACCAAATATAACAAATCACATTAACTAATCCAGCAACCTGATCTAAACAAGAAAAAAATTTCATTACATAATAATGTCTTTCAAACCTTTATTAACTACCTATTATGTGCCATCCATTTTACTGCCCTTGTTGTAATAGTGAACTGTTATGGGAGCATAATGTTGAGTACAATTAAGAGTTCCATAGGGGCCGGTGCCATGGCATTGTCTGCTAAGCTTCTGCCTGTGCAAGCATCCAATTTGAGTACCAGTTTGAGGCCCAGCTGCTGCACTTCTGATCCATTTCCCTGCTTACAGCCTCGGAAAACAGCAGAGAATGAACCAAATCCTTGGGCCCCTCCACTCAGGTGGGAGATCCAGAAAAAGCTCCATATCCTGCCTTTGGATCAGCTCAGTTCTGGCTGTTGTGGCCATTCGGGGAGTGAATCAATGGATAGAAGCTTGCCTCCCCCCACCCCTCCCTCACTCTCTTGCATGCTCTCACTCTCTATGTGTGTGTGTCCTTCTTGCTGTAACTGTGTCATTCAAATAAAAATAAAAAATAAAGATAGTTGCATAAGAATAGAGATGAAAAATACAAAGGCAGGTTTTCTGGAGCTAGTGATAAAGGAAGATGGCAGATAGGAAAGTATTAAAGACAGACCAGATAGTGAAGTCACGTCACCATCCGAGTATGGGAAGAAAGAGGAGGGAAGAGGGAAAAGCTATGGTCTGCCCTAAAGTAAACAGTGTGTCTATGTGGAGAAAAAGAAGATGTACGGGGGAGGTGCACAAGTTCCTGTGAAATTTGCTCTCAAATCCTTGCAGAGGACTTTTGTACACAGGGAGGCCGCAATTCCATAAAGCCTAATGGGAAGTGGCTGACAGGGGACCAGATGTTAAATGGAGATATTCAAGGGCCTTTGCCACTAGATGCTGGTGTTACAGCTCAATCAGAGAAAAGCTGTTGGTTCCTCGGAGACTGAGTTTTAGAAAGCATACACCAAAACAGTGAGAATCATAATGCTGAGTACAGAAATATACTAAATTACATCCACTCAAGCTAAGCTTGAGACCAAGTTCTTGGGAGAATCAAGAGGATGAAGAGGATCTACTGGGGGACATTTATATACAGAGAAAAATGACTTTAGAAACTCCAACGAATCCTAGAATTGGTATATCAGTTGTTGATCTTAGAACTGATAAATTAGCTTAGTACAATTTTAGGAGGCAAAACCATATATAAAAAAAAGCAATGACTTAGAATTATTTATTTGTTTTTATTTGAAAGGCATAGTTTACGGAGAGAGAAGGAGAGAAAGAGAGTAGCTATCCTTCCAGAAAGTACTCGAAATAAATTTAACCAAGAAAATGAATATTTTCACAATATTACAATGCAAATTGTTACACACTGGTGAAAAAGTTGAACAGAACACCAAATTTAGAAACAAAGCTCATGTTCATGGATGCAAAAATATTGTTGAAATCTCCACACTATCTTAAGTGATTTACAGATTCAATGTAATCCCCATCAAAATACTAATGGCATTCATGGTATAAATAGAAATAAAAAGATCCTGAAATTCATGTGAAACCATAGAAGACCCCAAATAGCCAAAGAAATCATAAACAACAACAACAACAAAAAAAAAACCCACAAACCTGGAGACATTACTTCACCTGACCTCCAAACACACTGCAGGGGCGAGTGATGTGGCAGTGGGACCCAGTTTGCAATGCTGGCACTTCATATCAATGTGCCAGTTGAGTCCTAGATGCTCCACTTCCAATCCACCTCCCTGCCACTGTGCCTGGGAAGTCACAAGTACTCGGGTCCTTGTCAGGAGGGAGTTCCTTGCCCAAACCTGGCTGTGGCGCCAACGTCTCTCTCTAAAATACATAATCTCTTTTAAAAAGAAAACTTGCACACTAAAACTACTGTTAGCAAAACAGCGTAGTTCTGACGTAAAAACTGATATGTAGACCAAAGAACAGACTAGAGGACACAGAAAAAAATCCGCACATCTGCAGCTGACAGGCCTCCAACAAAGACACTAAAAGCATACATTTGAAAAGGAACGGGTTCTTCAAAAACAACTGAACATTCATACGCTGAAGAGTGAAACAAGAACCCAATTTCTCACCACGTTTGAGTCCAAGGACCTAACTGTAAGATTTGCGTTTATGAAAGTACTAGAAGAAAATACAGAGGACACAGTCAGGACATTGATAAGGGAAATGACTTTTTTGGACAAGATCCTGAAAGCACAGGCAACAAACACAAAATGAGATTTTTATTTTACATAAAAATAGAATTTTTATATAAAAAAGTGTGATAGTTTCTTACAAGGAAAACTACATATATACTTTATGAACCAACAACTTTTGGGACTTAAAAGATAGACTATTTTTATATTATATTTTATGTTTATATTTTTCACTCTAAAGTGTAATCAATTAGTTTCTAAAGAGAAAAAAATATATGTTAGAATTTCTATTTCACTCTTACTAGAAATACAAATTCAATAAGATCAATCCAAAAATTCTATGTAGGAAAACAGAGAAGGCAAGTTTCAGGAAATCAAAAATTCACATACAGTCCTTGATAAACAATTTACATTTTTCTCTACAAGGCGCAACTTACTCCCATCAGTTATATTTTCCTATTTCTATACAGGGAAATATGGTATACAAAGACACACACATGTGCACATGCACACACACATACACACAAACCTAACACATCTCTCATTCTTCTATAAGCATGTGCTTTAAAGTCACAAAAAGCATAGCCATATTACGCATCACACTAACGATTATTATGGCAGTGGCACTAACAAACAAATATCCTTTAATGAGTTGCAGTGTTCATTTTTAAAGTAGAGGAGAGCAGCTCCAAGGTGCCAAATATAAAGAAAAGAGAAGGAAATGGGAACACTGCTCTGACCTGTTGACACTGTACAGCTGTGCTAAAATACTGCCCTGTATCCCATGAAAACGCAGCAGTCATACATGTTCGTCGCACAAAGCAGACAGAGGCAATCAACGCACTGGATCAGTCTTTGGGGATATAGTTTTCCTTGTGTGTGCCAAGTTGTTATATGTTGCTGTTGCTTGGCTAAATTGTCTTTTTCTTCTCTTATTCTGTCAAAAGGACAGGCTTTCTGCAATGTTTTTTTTTTTTTTTTTGAAATAAACATTTTGTCCCACTGGTCTGGGCAAATTGTGTAGGGCCTGATTTAGTAACCTGAAGTTACTCCTCTTTTATGAGGCATAGAACTCTTCCTCAGTAAATAAACACCACTAATGAAACGTTTGTATGGAACCCAACACCAACATGGAGATAGAAAACAGCTGGCATGGTCTGTAAATATCCATGGGGGCATATATAAAAGACTTGGGAGGGAAGGAGTCTTTTGCAGTCCAAGCAAAGGAGTTCTACAGTCAGGCTCTGCTCGCCTCTATAAGCATGACCTCTGACTCCTCTTCCACACACTGTACTGCTGAGTCCTGTGCCAGTGCTTCTGGCTGTGCACCTGCTTCAGCCTGTTCCCTGGAAACAACTTGTCTCTCCACTGACTGTTCTACATTCAGATGTCAGACTCCCAGCTTCCTATCCAGTGCTTGCTTACCAGCCAACTGCCTCACACCATGCTACTTTGTTGGAAGCTGTGACAGCCCATGCTTGATGGGGAACTGTGTGTGGTGTGAGGATGGGGTGTTCAACAGCAACGAGAAGGAGACGATGCAGTTCCTGAATGACAGACTCGCCAGCTACCTGGAGAAGGTCCACAGCCTGGAGGAGACCAACGCCGAGCTGGAGCGTAAGATCCAAG